GTAGGACGCGCCGCCCTGCTGTGTTTCTGGTTTTGGGCGTCATGCCAGAGCGGCGTGGAAGGACCAACCCCCCCCCCCCCAAATAAAACAAAACAGGAAAGACAACGTTCAGCTGCTCACCGGCTCCTCAATAGTTCCCTGCTTCATTTTCCATGCTGATACGACTGAATTAGAGCCGCTTGCTTTTCTGTGCGTTCATCACTTCAAAAGGAACATTTATTGTGTATGTGGCTCTCTGTCTCTCTCTCTGTCTGTCTGTCTCTCTGTCTGTCTCTCTCTCCGTCTCTCTGTCTGTCTCTCTCTCTGTCTGTCTGTCTCTCTGTCTGTCTCTCTCTCCGTCTCTCTGTCTGTCTCTCTCTCTGTCTCTCTCTCTGTCTGTCTCTCTGTCTCTCTCTCCGTCTCTCTCTCTGTCTGTCTGTCTCTCTGTCTGTCTCTCTCTCCGTCTCTCTGTCTGTCTCTCTCTCCGTCTCTCCGTCTGTCTTTATCTCACTAGCAGTATTTAATTGGCGTCTTCTTGCTTCGCTGAGATTCTCGCTGTTTGTTCTCGAGGCGGCGAAACCCCCCAAGATCGGCCCAAAGTGAACGCGGAGCCGTGTTTGCTTTAATCTCTCCGTATTGCGCAATAAAGCCTCCCCCAAAAAATCAAAGCAGAGTAATTCTTTTCTGAGGCGTCCATGTGTTGCCCCCCCCCCATTTTCATTTTATGTGCAAGTTATTTTGTCTTTGACATGTGTGTGTGTGTGTGTACAGAGACCTGCAGTGTGCGTGTGTGTGTGCGTGTGTGTGTGTGTGTGTGTGTACAGAGACCTGCAGTGTGCGTGTGTGTGTGTGTGTGTGTACAGAGACCTGCAGTGTGTGTGTGCAGAGACATACAGTGTGTGTGTGTGTGTGTGTGTGTGTGTGTGTGTGTGTGTGTGTGTGTGTGTGTGTGTGTGTGTGTGTGTGCAGAGACCTGCAGTGTGTGTGTGCAGAGACATACAGTGTGTGTGTGTGTGCAGAGACATACAGTGTGTGTGTGTGTACAGAGACATACAGTGTGTGTGTGTGTGTACAGAGACATACAGTGTGTGTGTGTGTACAGAGACCTGCAGTGTGTGTGTGTGTGTGTGTGTGTGTGTGTGTGTGTGTGTGTGTGTGTGTGTGCAGAGACCTGCAGTGTGTGTGTGCAGAGACATACAGTGTGTGTGTGTGTGCAGAGACATACAGTGTGTGTGTGTGTGCAGAGACATACAGTGTGTGTGTGTGTACAGAGACCTGCAGTGTGTGTGTGCAGAGACATGCAGTGTGTGTGTGTGTGTGTGTGTGTGTGTGTGTGTGTGTGTGTGTGTGTGTGTACAGAGACCTGCAGTGTGTGTGTGCAGAGACATGCAGTGTTTGTGTGTGTGTGTGTGTGTGTGTGTGTGTGTGTGTGTGTGTGTGTGTGTGTGTGTGTGTGCGCAGACCTGCAGTGTGTGTGTGTGTGTGTGTGTGTGTGTACAGAGACCTGCAGTGTGTGTGTGTGTGTGTGTGTGCAGACCTGCAGTGTGTGTCTTTCAGTGTGCACCTTCCAGACAACCGGACCAGATGGACGTCACACTCGCACACTTTGGACTTTAATGCTGTTACACTTGACGTCCTTGAGACTTGAACCACCACTCAAGATCTCAAGTTTCCAGACAAAAATCAGCGACAGCCTGAAAAGGCGCCGGTGGCCGAGCGTCTTTCTGCCTTCAGAGGATTTAGTGTCAACTTTGCGAAGAAGGAGCGCGACTAACGCAGCTTTCGGAAAGGAACGTCATCGCTGAATACTCGATCGCGATTCGTCAATGACGGCATTCTACGCTCTGTTGTCTCCGTCGTCATGGACACCGCTCTGATCCCGTACCTGCCGAAGAGAAGCTACAAAACTAGACCTGTTATTCTTTAAAAGCCATATTTCATTCCTGCTGACACGGCGCCTTCAGGGTCCCGCAGGACTCTCATTTCGACTTTGTGTCGACGTGGACTCCCCCCCCCCCTCCCCCCCGAGGGGCTGACGTGACCCCCGCCTACCCGTGTGCAGATTCCCCGGGTCACAGCCAGACGAACTCCCCCCCCCCCCCCCCCCCCCTCCTCTGCCGTCTCATGTAAAAGCTCCAGGGTTACAGCAGACGTGTTGTGATCGTGTGCGCCTCATTGCCTTCCCTGCTGGGAGCCATCGCAGCCTATCATGCATCCACGAAGCTGTGTGTGTGTGTGTGTGTGTGTGTGGGGGGGGGGCTGTGATTTCACCAGCGCGGTGCGCAGACACGGTGAAATACGGCCTCTCTTGTGTCGATACGTTCGGGTCGTATGACGAGACGAAGCGCTCTTTCATCCTCGTCAACGGAATAAAACAAACCTGGATCTGAAGTTTACAGTCGTGAAAATGTTCTTGTTGACAAACCGGTTGGCAGCTGCGAACTGATGACCTAATAGCTCCTGATCATTTGAGGCTCAATAAGTCAGGAAGATGTTGAGATCTTTAACCCGCACGTGTCCTCCTGCATGAGGTGAAGTGGGCCTCGTAGCCCACGGGCAGCGTCTCTGTGCCTGGGGGGGCATCTCCAGTCCACAGATGGACGAGCAGTGGGGATAAGATGACTGCCGTCCGCTGGCAGATGGTACGAGTTCCCCTCAGCCGAGAGTTGTGACTCCAGCTCTCGGCCTGTGTGTGTGTGTGTGTGTGTGTGTGTGTGTGTGGGGGGGGGGGGGGGGGGGGGGGTGCAGATTAATGTGTGTATCTGTTTCAGGGTCAGAAATTAGCAGGTGCTGAGGACAAAAGTGCCCTTGATAGTCAACATTGCACACGTTGCCGTTCTGGCCGACGTAACATTTCTAAATTATTGATCGGTTCTCGCTGAACTGTGAGAGAAAAAAAGCACATTTACACTTATGAGCTGTTAAAGAAATGAAGTATATGTCTCAGCGTATATATAATATACAAGAAGCGCCGTATTGTCTCAGCCAACCAGCTTCCACTTATTACACTTAATAAATATACTTATAACTGTGTGTGCAGCCGCAGTAGTTTGTGAATCAGGGCCACGGATTGTTTTGTGAGGACAAAGTGACCGTGACCTTTGACCTTTGCTCTGTGTTATTCTTATCCCCTCTGTATTTACCGACCCCCCCTGTGTGTGTGTGTGTGTGTGTGTGTGTGTGTGTGTGTGTGTGTGTGTGTGTGTCTGCAGTTAAGTGAATGTTGTGTCTGTGGAGGCAGATTACGAGAGGAACGTGGCAGAAGAAAAGAAAAGAACGGTAGAAATTAAAGGATAGAGTGTGTGTGTGGAAACTGTTAACGTGCTTTACCACAGCCGACGTGTGCAGCCTCCTGAGAGGTCGTTCCAGCAAGTCAGATCCCATCGCACTTTGAACAGTTAGTTTCTGTGCGTCTTTTCGGGACCTTATGGGGAGCACCGCATGTAGATGTTGAAGCCCTGGTAAATGGTCCTGGATTCCTTTCAAAGATATCCACGAGGCGCAGCTTGTTGGCGTAATCACAGCGAGGTGACGGCCCCCCAGACCCCCCCCCCCACCCCCACCCCGACCCCAGCAAAGACTGTAAATGTCAGCAGGGGTTGTTTGGGTCATTAGGAGGCTCGTTAAATCTGTGCCATGCGCACATTCACGTGCAGGCTCTACAATCCACACACACACACACACACACACACACACTTGCCCTCTGAAAACCTCTCCAGTGTTCCGTAAATCTTTGAAAAGTGGCACACTCTGTCAGAAGCATCTCAATGGAAGCGTTTGAAAAAAGGCCTCTGGATCTGCCGCGTGGTTCGTGTCTGTCCTCCCCCCCCTTCACTAAGAGGGTTGCTTCCTCCCGCGATCGTGGAGTGATCTTCCCTTTGATCATCCCACTATGTAAATGAGTTTCTCCTCCCCAGCAGGAACGATCACTTCACTGGCGACGTGATCGAGAAATCTTCTGGCGAGCGGCGGGCGAACAACGGGTGGTTAAACAATGGCTGTTCTTTCCTCTCCGTCCGCCAGACACTCGGGACGTTTTGTTGGAAGGGAATTGAAGGCTGAACGCACCTCGGGACGCTTTACAGTCCGTCAGGATTTACAACAACCTTTTTTAATTGAGTGAGAATAAATCGCCTCAAAGAAGTCTTGAACTCCCGTGATGATGGTCGTCTTTTACAAAAAGCACAACGCTGTAAATCTGGCGCGACAGTAACGGCTGGATTGGTTCTACTAGCTCTCCGTTTGCACCGCGTCTCTGTGGAGGGACGCCGTCTAGACACGGCGTTTTCTCGAGAGGGGAACTCACAGCGGCTCGTTGCTGGTTGTGATTAGAGGTTCTCATATCAGATGGAAGCCTGGACTGAATCGTGAAGTAAAGCGCGTCTGATATTTGCAGATCACCTGATTACCAGCCGGGTCCCCTGAACGCTGCAGCTGGAGCAAACACATCTGTTCTCTAAACTTACCTGAGGATGTAGAATGGGAGGTGGGGGGGGGGGCTGTAACTCAGGCTTCCTGTACTGGGGGTGCGGAGGCCTCGGCAGATGACAGTGACCTCCTGTGGATCAGGAGGTCACTGTCAGCCCGGGGGCCTTCGTACCAACCTTGCCTGCGGGGGGCCCGGTTGGCCCAATATGCTTCTTTAGGGGCTTTTGAAATGCTTTTCGGGGGCTTCCCTCCAGAGAAATTATCCCCCCCCCCCCCCCGACCACCTTTCTTCTGTCTCTTCTCCCTCTCAGCACATTTTGGAGTCTGAACCATCTCTCTGTCCCGTCCCCTTTGTGACGGCCCGGCCCGATTCAGCCCAACGGTGTCCCCCCGCATGCCGCACACACTCACACACACACACACTCTGCTACACACTCACACACCCGGTTCCGGGTGCTTCTCTGACATCCGCTGGGCTGTTTAATTACAAAGCTCCACTTTGAGGAGACGCTTGAGATACTCGACAGATAAGGGAACAAAGACGCTCGTTGTCTCGTATCGGGACCACTGCTTTTTGGAGGGTGTTTAGGGAG